GTAATTAGTTCTCTTTTTCCTGTTCAAACTGTTGTCTGACAGCACTGTGCAAAACCTTAGAGCAAGGGTAGGCAAACTCTGGCCCTCCAGCTGTGGTGAAACAACAAACCCCACCATGCATTTGCCTCTGGGCATCATGCCAATGGCGGTCAGTCTTGCAATGCTCATGGGATTTGTACAGTCCCATGAGCACCACAGCTGGAGGTGCGGAGTTTGCCTGCCCCTGCCTTAGAGTTTTGATTGGCTGTTAGCACTGCCGCCCTCACTCAATGTGAACATTGCTGTGCAGGGGATTACAGGATTTATGTAAAATACATGTTATGATTTTATTAATAAATGCATAACCAGATAAATATATTTTTTTTCAAGTTGGAGTTTAATTTTAATCATCCTTCATCAGTTTCTCTTTTCCTTTAATATAAATGTTTAAAAGTATTTTTTATTTTATGGGTTGCAGCAAGCAGTACCATTGAAGCAAGATTCAATAAGTTGGTTAATGAATTTATACTTAAGCTGCTGTATGTTTGAGCCTAAATACTGTATACAGCAGACGTTATGCTAATAATGGTTAACACCAACATAATTATATACAACAAACAAGTACAAGAAAAACAAGCGGCTCCTCAGCAATTAGATTGCCTGTTAAAATTCAGTAAAAAAAAAGAATACCTAATAATATGATGTTTATCATATTTATATACTTATTTCTGAGTAGATAAACATGGTCAATTAGTGTGATGGACCATCTATTTATATGCTGAGTTACTGCAGCCTGAGAGGAGGCATGCAGCTCTGTGCTATTAAAGGAAACTCGAGCTAAAAGACATGAATAACCTTCCTATCCTTGCTAGTTACCTGGCTGTCATGACATCACTGGTTGCCTGGAGCTGGGTGGTACAATGACCAGAGCATCACAGGTTGCTAAGAGCTGGGCTGGGAGATGTGTATGGCCCTTACAAATCTCCACACCCAGCTCTTAGCAACCTGGAATGCTCTGGCTAGAAAGGGAGCGGCAGACACACTGCTAACATTGTGCAGCAAAGCAACCATGCTGCTCTGCCTGTTTTGCCCCCCCCCCCCCTCAAATGACCCAAAGAGATGCCACATGAGGCAACAGTGAAGAAAGACAGCCCTTCGAGCCATTTAAGTTGGAGCTTACTCAGGACTGAGGGCTTTTCTATCTCCCATGTCACAGTTCTGGGCCTTAAAATACATATTGTTATTGTTGATATGCTGTAGTGTTACTAATTGTTAATGGCACCCTAGGTGGAAATCTGTGCATTAAGCAGCCCATAATGTGTTTGCATTACCACATCGCATAGATGTATACCTAGTCTTAAAACCTAACCCCTTTCCCGACCCCCCCACCCT